GGAAATAAATGCAGTTCTCTCACATCCCTTTGATAAGAATCCTCTGCAAAAGAATTCATGCTTGGATGGATCTGTGACAGAGTGCCCTCCAGGTTTACTCAAAACATTAAACATTTCTGATCTCTTCCTCCATTAGAAATGTATAAGCAGCTGTGGGCTGCTTCATTTTAGTTGCTCTACATCCTGTTATTTAGAATCCATTCCTGGCTATGTCTGCCAGAAGAATGGTATCTTTCATTTTTAAAATGCAGCTTTCCTTTTTATATGGAAGATCTTTTTTCATCTCCAAGCTGTGTGTAGCAATAGGCTGATAAGGCTGCATGTGCAAACCATGCTGATGAAGGGTTCCAAAAACCTTATTAATGTATTAGCAAACCTTATTATTAATATTATAATTGAACTTTATATATACACTGACTTGAAAGTTCAGACGGTTTCCCTGTAGCTGACAGAACTGATCCTGCTGTACAAGACTATTCTGAATAGATCTTTCCCAGATGTATTCTACTTGTTCCTAAAATACTTGGATAGTGATATTTTGACTTAAAACCAGATCAGATTACACCAAACTGTTCTTTATTATCAATATATTGTATTTTTCAGTCAATATCTTTTCAGGAATTTCTGCTGTGGAATTAATCTGCTGTCTTCTATCATGACTGACAACAATTTGCGTGCAAAGTATCCTCTTTTTTTCTAGCTTTGTATTCTCAGTCCCTTCAAAAGAGACTTCTCTGTGTTCATGGATTTTACTGTATGCTAAAGGAGAAGGTTTTGTGAAATGTGAACACACTGGCAGTCCTTTCCTGCTTCAGAGTGGGTTATCTTTGTATTAACAGAAGATGCAGTGAAATACAAAGCTAAGCTAAAAGAAAATGGGATTTTTTTAATGAAAAGTTACCTGCTGAGTTTTTGTTAAAAAATTTACACTCCCCCACCCCAATTACTTGCAGTATTTGTGGTGGCAGTTGTCAGTCATGTATCGATCAAGGTAGCAAGCTATTTCAAGGTAGCAAGCTATTTAAAGGTAGCAAGCTATTTAAGTTGATCAAAACTCTAAGTAAGTGCTTTATCTATTAAAAAAAAAAAAAATTGGAATATAAGCAAAAAAAGCAGCAAACCTGTTTGCAGAGCTAGAAGGCTGTGTCCATGATACTAAATTTTAGGTTTTGCTTCAGTCTAGATAGGCATGTCCATCACTACGTGTGTAACTTGTTTCACATGTAAACATGTAGAAGACTTTGCACACTTTCTGCTCTAATTGCAGATGTCTGTCAGCACTCTTTGCCATTCCTGCAGCAAATTATATTGTGAATTTCTGATAGGTTCATAAATGATGAATAGTGTATGAAGTTTCATTCTGAGCTTAATTTTTCTGTCTAATCTCTCTCTGTGAATTAAACTTGAGACAAGGTGCTGAAAATCTTAGCTTTTTCATTAAATAAAGATACATAATTCAATAGCTCCTTTAGCTTCAGTCTACTGTTCCTCTGTACTGCACCTACAACTATATGCCTGATTTATACACTAAGTAAGTTTTCTGTTAGTACCGATGTAATTGTAACATACATTAATATTTTAATTTATGCTACTCTGGGAGCAGTGCATTTTGGGTATTATGTTTGTATATGTAGTAAAGGCAAGGCATAATACATATTACCAGATACTTCCCTTGTTTGTAACACAACAGCTTTTTGAATCCTGTTCTACAGTTACTTGAGTTACTTCTATGTAACTGTTTAGCTGTGCAAGCTGTTTGGTGCAGTAGAAAAGGTTGCAAGTAGATTCTGTTTTGAAGTGAAAAATAAAATTCTGACTTACTTACGCTGCCTTCATTAGGGCCACTGTATCCTCTACAGTCAGTACTTTGCTTTTGGTTTCAGTGGACAAATAATGAAATCATTAACATATTTTTAAATCACCCTTTTTCTCTGCTTGCTTCAAGTTTTTTTGAGCCATTGTTACACCTTTTGATTTTGGAAGCAGGAGGCCATGATTCCTAGCTTTTGTGTGGAAGGAAGCATTACTTACTAACACTACTTGTTTGTGATAAATTTGTTGTTAGAATAATGTTAAAATGCAAATGAACAGGCTGAGCAGAATGGCAGGAAGTTAATCATAGTAGTGCACATTTGTGCAACCTGCCAGAGTTGGAAATAATTCTGTAGCTCATTGGAAGGCTGAGAATGTCGACTTTCCAGAAGTAGAAGTGATTTCTTCTAGTCCTGGCTGTTTGTTAAATTATCAGGGCAGAAATTATGGAATTATATTTTGACTTCTTAAGTTAATCAAATGTAATAACTGAAATGGTCCAAACCTATCATACAGTTAGGATTTAACTCAGCTTGTGGTTTTGATGGTGTTTTTTTTTTTTCTTAACCGAATATCAGTATATGGAAATGAAAGAAGGGGCACATTTGAAGAATAGGAATAAGCTCTTAGCAATCGCATTTTGGGGCAACAGCAGATATGAAGAAATTTCAGACAGATTTATTTACTTCCAAAGCATAAAAGGAACATAGATTTATTCAGAAAGCATCTGGTTTTCTCCCATATGAAGTACAGGGTTATAATGCTTTACTGTTGTAGAGCAGTTGCACTTTGCAAACTGTGTTAGGATTAAAGAGTGATTTCACTGTGTTTAAAATCTCATTGAAAACTGAAGATGGGAGAAAAAGGCTTCATCTTTCAACAACCAAAACACAGCAAGCACCTTGGCCTTTGATGGATTACATCCACTGCCAAGGAAACAGGTGGGCCTAGGCTGGGCTCCATCTCAGCAAAACCTGCAGCTACTGCAAGCTCAGAGCTGTAGTGACCCACCATCACTGTCAGGCAGCATAGCTGGCTGCAAGAGCTACATGGGAGCACATCCTCACTGCAAGGTGATCGGATTCAGACAGGAGACTTCTACAGGAGACTTCTACAAGTTTTGCTGAATCCTTTGTGCAGAAGCAATGATATTAAGTTTATTTAAATCAGACCATATTCTTGATAGCTGAGGAATAACATAGTGTAGTTCTGAACAAGCATTACAGAAGAAATCTGAATTGCCATAAAGTGAGTATGATGGGCTATTTTCTGCCTGAGGTACAGCCAAAAAATACCACCTCTGAATGACAAAAATGTTTATATGCATTGTGTGTTAAGAACAAGATATTAAACAGTTTCTAAGTGTTATTAAAAGGTATGTGACTTCTCACAATATACTAAGCTTCATTGCACTTCATGTGTGGTTTAGCAGATCTGCTGCACACATAGCTCTTTTTGCATGGAGAAAAAAAAACAACCCTGCCACTATAAGTAGAGCTTCCATGCAAAACTTGAGATGCAACTTGTAAAATACAGAGACTTGCTTTGAAAGTGATTCCCAATAGTTTCCTTTGGGGATTAAATCTCTGTGTCTATTTATAGGAATCTTTCTTTTTTTTTTCTTCCTGATTAGATGTAATAATTGGACTATATGAAGACTTCTAATGAAGAAGAGATAAAAGGGACTGCCTGATTCTAAGTAATGATAGATTGTTTCTGTAGTCATGGAAAGTGATGCATTTAGAATATTAACAGCTTCTTGACTAATGGTTTTGTGCAATTTATAGGTTATTAATAATAAAAAACTTCTATAGAGGGAATTAGTATCTGGACTCTATTGTGATTATAAAAGATTAGCATGAGATCTGGTCAGGAGGAAACCTGGACAGTCAGATGTGCAGCAAACACGTATTTCTGAAATGCAATTAAATCTGCAGATGTAGAAAGTAATTAAAAAGCAGAGATGTGAGCTGTAATTTATGGGTACTTTACAGTGGTTTAAATGCCTTTTTTCCCCATGCAAGCCTTATGTTCCTACGTTATCTAAACTCAGTGGATGGCTAACACCACCTACATAAACATTTATTGAGAGCAAGTATCTTCTGTTTCTCAGTTACTGTGGCAGTAACAGAAAAATATTTATTTAAACCCTCAAGACATCTGGCCTTCAGGCCAGAAACATGGGATTTTATGGGCCGTGGAAACATTCTGGGTTTAAAACAGACTTCTGCACAAGTTTCATATGTGAGGAGGACATAAGCGCATACCAGAAACAGTTCTGCCTACAATAACGCCTTGTCTTCAGTAATGCAAGCAGACACTTCAGAATTTCCTAACAAAATCATGATTTTTTTTTTTTTTAATCCCTGATGGTTCAAGTCTGCTATTGCTGAAGAAGATACTGAATGCTAGAAAATAATCTCTTGAGGCATACGATTAACTGCCGTTATCTAGCTTTACTTCCGAAGAAGAAATCCTCGCCCATTGTCGAACTATGCAAGTGATACCACAGACAAAGAAATGCTGGGCTGAGGAGCCTTCCTGAGTTGTTTACCTTTGAGCCTGAAGAAGTTACAAACAAGATTTAAAAGCCTCAGGAGGAGAGCAGATAAAGACGGGTCAGGAAGCAGCCTGTCACTCAGGTGACTCATTTTGTGAAAACCTTGCTGAAAAAACATCCTGCTCCCGCACACAGTACTATAACCCGAACGCTGCCAGGCAGCTCGTTAGGAGTTCCGAAAGCACAAAGAGCGTTTTTACTGTGAAAACGCTGGAGCGTAGGAAGCTCTCGGGAACAGACCGGGCACTGCGGCTGCCGCCGTGACCCGCGGCGCTGCAGGAGGGACCCTCCACCCGAGGAGCCTAGATACTCCTGCCGCCCGCCCGCGCTCACCGGAGACGGGGGCTGCCTGGACCGGCCGCGGGTTCCCAGCCCCGCGCCGGGCTCCCGGCAGATCCAGCTCTGCAGCCCCGCGGCGCTGACTTTCGCGCGGAGCTAGGGAGTCGCCCTGCCAGGTAGCAGAGGGACGACCGCTCCCTGCACAGCCCCGTGCCCCTCGTACTAAAGTTTCGGCCGACGGTACAAGGCCGAAGGCTGGGTGCGAGCGGGGTGTGCCCGCACGGGGCAGCGAAGGGGCGGGCGCCTCCGGGAGTGCCGCGGAGGGCGCTGCGCCGCCCGCGGCTCCTACCTTCCAGCACCGAGCAGAACGCATGTAGGGCCATCATCTCCTGGCGGGGCCGCGGCCGTGACTCCGCGGCTGCGGCGATCACCGACGCTCCATGGCCGCAGCTGGGCTTGACGGCGGCCCCCAGCGAGGGCGCTGTGGTCCGCGGCTACAGCTTGGCCGGTTCCCGTCCGTCCCTGACCATGTCTGGGCCCCCGCGCGGCACGGTATCAGCACATCTAGAGCGGGGCGCGGCAGGATCCGTCCGGGCTGGCCTGCCTCGGGGGGCGGGCACGGGGGCGGGGGTTTTGGGGTGGGCTCCCGGGGTGTCAGTTTGAGCGGAGCTGAGAAGCTCCTAACCCGACTAAAGCGGCTGCCGGTAAAGGAGGCTCATTTAAGATGTGAGGGGTGTCTGCCTGGATGAGCCGTTGTACGCATGTGCCTGCCCCTCGCGGAGCTCCGCAAGCAGCCGCAGACCGGGGGTCGCCCCGCTCTTCCCGGCCTGCCGGGCACAAGGCGAGGGGCACAGCCGTCCTCACCCCTGCCCCACGGAAACCGGCAGCGGCCCCGCTGAGGCACCCGCTTCGGTCCCATGCCGTGCACCCGGCCACAGGCCCCATCCTTCCCGCCCGCGGAGAGGGGCCCGCCGGTGCTGGAGACCCATGCAGCCCCTCTCCCAGACGCGGTGGCTTCGGTGAACTAGACTGCCGCTCCCCCCTTTTGTTTCGGATCTGAGAGATGTCCCAGTGGGGCAAAAGGAGCCCTTCGTTCCTCCCCTTTTCTCCGCCGCTCGTGGCAGGGCCCTTGCAGCTCCGGCAGTGCGCTGTGCTGCCTGCAGCTCAGGCGCTGGCGAGAGCCTTGCACATGCAGTTGTGCGGCTGCTGTCTGAAGAGATCGGCAGCTGCAATGGAGCTATTACTTTACATGAAGTTAACGAAAAGGTGCACTTAGCCTGCTGCCTGCCCCGGCTCCCCATACCCCTGGTTATCCATCGCATGGGGCTAGCTTGTGAAGGGAGAAGTTGCCTTGGGAAAAAGCCTGAAGTTGGGGCAGGTGCCGATGTCGGGGCAGCGTGACGGTGCTGCTGGGAAAAGGGCATTCTCTGGGCTTAAGGGCACCTCGGACCTGGCAGTGGAGCCGCCTAACGGCAAGAGCCGAGACTGTTCTGGATAGCCAGAGCACGGCTAGGAGAGGCTGCCGTGCTGAGGGGCTGGCTGTGTGTGAAATTACAGCTACACGTATAAACCCATGAGAGATTCTTTCAACTCTCCCATAGGCAACACGGACTGAAGAATCTCCGGGTATTCCATAGTGGATGTCTTTCCCAGCTACGATGCGGGGATCCTCAGTGCTTTTGCTCGGGGTGCCGCAGCACTGGCACACAGGGGTGTCCGGCGGTGTGCGGAGGGCACCGCAGAGCCTCGCGCAGTCCGAGGCCGCGGTGCCAGGCGCGGTGACTTGTGTCCCGTGCCCCGAAGCAGTCGCCACCAGACTCCGGCCTTCCCCCATCGCTGCTGTACACAACGATGCAGGTCTGGCTCCCGGGTGCCTCCCGCGGACCTGCGCTCGACGAGCTGAGGTGCGTTGAGGGAGCCCACTCGACAGACCCGATAAGTTTGGCAAGCGGTATGTTAGATGCATAGTTGTAACTTGTGATTCTATCTGCTTAAGGAATAGAGCCGCTCACTGCAGCCTCGAACATAACCGTGAGAGATGAAACTCCCTGTGGTTTGGTGCTATGTGTTTGAACGCTGAACCCATACACTGTTCGAAGGTCAGCATATCCTGTTAGAAAAGAATATTCTCTCGCTTCAGATTGTCAGTTAAATATTCCATGCTCTTCAGGTGTATATGATTGTCAGTTAAGACAAACTGAGCTGGCAGGGACGGAGGAGCAGCTGGCCGAAACGGGAGTGGAATCCTCAGGGCCTGGCGGTGCTCCTCGTCCGTCCTCCGTCTTTCCGGAGCTGCTGCGCTCTGCTCAGCCATGGGGCACTGGGCAGCCCGGGCGAGACCCCATCGTAAAGGTCCTGGGCTTTTCTGGGCGTTAAAGACCCATTTTAGAGTTCTAAGAAGCTTGATGAAATATTAAGCTTGATGCTCTGGCAAAAATCGCAAATTACGTAATTACATTATTCCACTTGAATTGTACTTTCAATTTCAAATAGAAATTATACAGACCTTCTCAAAGAGTAGTTTCCCCATGAATTGTTAAATAGGTGCTGCATTCCAGCAGGTTAATGTATAGATCTATTAACCATGTATCTATAGTAGTGTGATGAAATGTTAAATTCTATAGTGAAAACTCCCTCACAAAGAGAAGACCTCAATAGGTAGATCTACTTTGCATTTTTTCTCACAAAACTGTTATTAAACTCAAGAAAATACCATACAGACTCATAATTTCTTCTGTATCTGTGCACATATTTTTGTCCTCTCTGCAAGCACATAAGCACATTAAAGTCTGACTATGCTTTGTGCAGACTCTTAGGAGACTTGGGTTTTGGATTTTTCTTGTAATTTTGGAATGCACAGTGTAGCCGATGGCAAAATTTGGCTTAGGAATTTTTATTAGTTGTGATGATACAAGAATGAGAGAACTAGTGTGATCCTCAGACCTCAAGCTGAATTTGCATTTGGGAAAACTATTTCTAGTCTGCTGTCTTCCACCAGAGAAACAGGCAAAAAATCTATCATCAGCAGTATCTTGTGCTCAGTCCAAGTTGATAAGAGTTAGAACAGAATCATGGAATAGTTAAGGTTGGAAAGGACCTTAAGATCATCTAGTTCCAATCCCCCTGCCATGGACAGGGACACCTCACAATAAACCATCTCACCCAAGGCTTTGTCCAACCTGGCCTTGAATGCTGCCAGGGATGGAGCATTCACAACCTCCCTGGGCAACCTATTCCAGTGCCTCACCACCCTTACAGTCAAGAACTTCTTCCTTATATCCAATCTAAACTTACCCTGTGTAAGTTTTAACCTGTTGCCCCTTGTACTGTCACTACAGCCCTTAATGAAGAGTCCTTCCTCAGCATCTGTATAGCCCTCCTTCAGATACTGGAAGGCTGCTATGAGGTCTCCATGCAGCCTTCTCTTCTCCAGGCTGAACAGCCCCAACTTTCTCAGCCTATCTTCATACAGGAGCTGCTCCAGTCCCCTGATCATCCTCGTGCGCCCCCTCTGGACTTGTTCCAACAGTTCCATGTTGAGGACACCAAAACTGTACAAAACACTCCAAGTGAGGTCTCAAGAGAGCAGATACAGGGGCAGGGGCAGGATCACCTCCTTCAACCTGCTGGTCACACTCCTTTTAGAATCATAGACTCATAAAATAGTTAGGGTTGGAAAGGACCTTAAGATCATCAAGTTCCAGTTGCAAAAACCCAATATGCTACAGTCAATTTAACTGAAAAGTTGAACTTCTAGTTTGCCCATTAGAAGGTTGAACAGAGCTATTACTCACTTGGGAAGTGCAGTAGTTTTTCCATTCTGTTGTTTTCTGAGGTCTGTGTAAAGCTGTCAGTCTGGGAGATGCAGGTAGTGGCATCAGCTTGTAGATCGGGGGGACATTCTGTCAACATTACTGCTGTTTTCAGTTTCTCAGATGGATGTCCCTGTTGTTTTGTCTTGCTAGAACACCTGTGCTAGAGCACTAATGGTGTTTTAATTTTTTTTGTAGTGTACAGGTTTGAAGAAACCCTCACCTCCTGTTTTGTGAGCCTGCAGAGTTTCCAGGGAAGAAAATGCTGTGCCACCAGGTCAAGCCACCAGTAAGCTGGAGTGAATCACACTTGAGTTTGGGAGTTAAGAACAGTTGGACACAGCTTTTAGACACCCACCTGTTTGTGGTTCTGCTACTCTATTGAGTCATTGTGATTATTTTTGACCGGGAGTAGTTAACAGAAGGCAGTGGCACTGCTCATTTTGATGTAGGGAAATACCTGCACAATTGAAAAATGAGTTAGTTACAGCAGATGCTCTGCTGCGGTAAAAGGCTTACACTTCCAATATGAGAACTGGTTTTGCCTCCTCCCAACCGTTCTTCCTTGAAACTTCCTTTGTTTTGCTGTTCTGCTAGAACTTTTAATTTTAATACTACCTAAAGTACTTGCTGCTCTTGAGTAGCAGATTGTACATCAGAAATAGTCTTACACCAGCAGTTTTTTACTATGTTTGAGGCTATTTGGATATTGTTTGTAAAAGAGTATCTATAGTCGAAGTTGCAAAAATATAGTGTTCAACAGTAAGTAATTACGAAGGTAGGAGTTAGTTACATTTTGACTGTTCTGGTACCTGGGTTTGCCAATAGGATTTAGGTGCATTTGGTGAATCCTAATTATATACAATTTCAAATTAGAAAATACTAGAAGGTTCAAGTGGGTCTTAATGTAGCATAATATGTAATCATGCTTGAGTAAGTAGTTGGGGTTTTGTTATTTACTACTGGGTTAAGGCCACTACAAACTTTCAAATAGTCATGAAGAATATTGATAGTTTTCATAATGCTCACTGTGCACTGCTTTATTTGGAAGGTAATATAATTAGATACGGGGATTAGAATATAGCTACATTTTTCTGGCCTAAGTTGGACACTGAGGAATTTCAAAATAAGGTTAGCATATACTTCACAATTTTTATAAATTGTATCATAGATGGGATCACATTTTTCATTGAAGACAGGAATTAATTATAAGAATAGTGCTGTGTGGCACTGTTTGATCATTTTCAAAGTGACAGTTGGGGCTGATGTTTCTGATGCCTCAACAGAAAGATCCTATTGCCAAAATAAAATAAATAAAAAAAAAAAGAAGGAAAGAATGGATAATAATTACTGAAACAGCCTAGCAATGTTCCAGGTTTAACATCTCTATCGCTCTTGATTTAACATACTTCTCAGGCTTTGATCAAATACTTTGGCCATCCATTTAGAATTAGTACTGTTTAATTGCAAAGTTTGAGATTATTTTAAGCACAATTTTATTTTCTGGATTTTTTTTAATAATGCTGTTGGTTATGAATACCTTCAAAACTGGCATGGTTAAGGTTTTTACACTTTTAACAAAATTAAGGTCTAATGATCGTAATATAGTAGAAACTTATGGATTGACTTCTATTTATTGAAAATACTGAACTGACTTGTTAAAACTGATTTGGTAAAATGCTTAAATTACATTTATGGCGATTGCCTTTCTGTAGCAAATGTTCTTAATATGACTCTCTGCTCAGGAGAATGGCCTCATCATAGGAG